AGATGGATGGATAGATAGATGGATAGATAGATAGATAGATAGAGGGATGGATGGATAGATAGATGGATGGATAGATAGATAGAGGGATGGATGGAGGGGAGGGATAGATAGATGGATGGATAGATAGATGGATAGATAGATAGATAGATAGAGGGATGGATGGATAGATAGATGGATGGATAGATAGATAGATGGATGGATGGATGGAGGGATAGATAGATAGATGGATAGATAGATGGATGGATAGATAGATGGATGGATGGATGGAGGAGGGATAGATAGATAGATAGATGGATGGATAGTTAGATGGATGGATAGATAGATGGAGGGATAGATGGAGGGATAGATAGATAGATAGATGGATAGATGGATAGATGGATAGATGGATAGATGGATAGATAGATAGAGGGATGGATGGATGGAGGGATAGATAGATAGATAGATAGATAGATGGATGGATGGATGGAGGGATAGAGGGATAGATGGATGGATGGAGGGATATATAGATGGATGGATGGAGGGAGGGATAGATAGATAGATGGATGGATAGATAGATGGATAGATAGATAGAGGGATGGATGGATAGATAGATGGATGGATAGATAGATAGAGGGATGGATGGAGGGAGGGATAGATAGATAGATGGATGGATAGATAGATGGATAGATAGATAGATAGAGGGATGGATGGATAGATAGATGGATGGATAGATAGATAGAGGGATGGATGGATGGAGGGATAGATAGATAGATGGATAGATAGATGGATGGATAGATAGATGGAGGGATGGAGGGAGGGATAGATAGATAGATAGATGGATGGATAGTTAGATGGATGGATAGATAGATGGAGGGATAGATGGAGGGATAGATAGATAGATAGATGGATAGATGGATAGAGGGATGGATGGATGGAGGGATAGATAGATAGATAGATGGATGGATGGATGGATAGATGGAGGGATAGATGGAGGGATAGATAGATAGATAGATAGATGGAGGGATAGATGGAGGGATAGATAGATAGATAGATGGATAGATAGATGGATGGATGGATAGATAGATGGAGGATAGATAGATGGATGGATAGATAGATGGATAGATAGATGGATGGATAGATAGATGGATGGATAGATAGATGGATAGATAGATAATAGGAAATGTTTGCGTTGCAGCAGCATAAAAAACAAGGCAATCTGGAAATACACAGTCCAAAAATATTTCTGAAATAGAAATAAAATAGCATTTAAAAAGTTACAAAAAATAAATATACATGTGGAAATACACATTTCCAGTAACAAATATAATGCAGGATATTATTGTGCAAGAAATAGATTATTCAATATTATATTGAATATAAATGTAAAATGTACGGTGAGAGTTTAAGTCCAGTTATCAAGAGAAGCTATGTTTTGTTTCTCATTTTCTTTTCCTGCCTTATTTACATTCCCTTGTCCTCCATTTCCCAGTTTGTATCTGTATGTTCCTGGTGTTGTTGTATCATCCTAATAATGGTTGTCATGTGTTTGCTTTTTTATTGTTTTTCCAGGACAACCTAGCTACTCATACCACCTCTCCCTACCAGCCCGCTGTGTTGCAGCCGTCCTCAGTGCCCAGTCCGCAGGTCAGTCTCCTGCAAGCCCTACCCAGGGTTCTTACGGTCATTAAAAACCTGGAAAAGTCATGGAAATTCTAAATGCTAATTCCAGGCCCTGGAAAAGTTATGGAAAACAATATTTTTCCCAAAGTTTTGGAAATGTAACTAAAGTTGCATCAAATATAATTTATAGTTGATCTAATCACTGAAATAGTAATACTATAATGATAATAAATACTGTATCGTATAGTAATGAAACGTAAAATGGCATTTAACTGTCGAGGTATTTTGCTGGTGAGAGATTTTAGTTGCTTTAGCGTGTAGAAGCTAGTAAGCCTACTATTTGATTTGTTTTAGGCACAACATGTTTCATATGCAGACCTTATTTTCCTGTTCCATGTTAAAATAAACAATTTTTAGTGGTACGCTGAGAAAGAGTAATGTTTTTGGTCATGGAAAATTAGGTAAAGGTCATGGAGAAGTCATGGAGAAGTCATTGGAAATCATTGGTGAAAAAGTGTATGAACCCTGCCTACCTTTTGCAAGATTCAAGGCTTTTATTGTCATGTGTGCGTACATAGCTACAGTGTAGTTATGACAATGGACATCTCAGGTCACAGGCTCCTCCAACAGTGCAACAACAATAAAACAGATAATAGTGCAAGTAAATACAATAAAATATAATATAATAGAAATAGTGCAGAATAATCCATGTACAAGTAATTGGAATATTGAGATATATATAAGTTGCAAACAGACGAATGTTTGCAACTTAAAAGTTCACCTTTACGTTTACCTTTACTTTCAGGTTTACCTACCCTTCATTTACCTGCTGCAGTAAAGAAATACTACTCTGACGTTTTTTAAAGCACAGTACTTCCCTAGGTCCTGTTTGTGTGTCTCATATCACACTGTTGGTTCAGCTGTTTCTACAAGATAGTGTTGTCACAATACCAACATTTTGGTTTCGATACCTATACCAAGTCAAGAATTGCGATTCCGATTCTTTTTCGATACTTTTCTTAAAAAAAGGGAAACAGTCTTAAATGTAATTATTGTGCTTTATTTCACACCAGAACCATAACCATAACACAAACTTTTAAACAATGAAAACAATAAACAAAATAAATGACAAGAATTCGTATTAAATACAATTAAGTTTTTTGTTTTATAAAATATATTTGTTTTTATATTTTATTAACATGTACAGTAATATAAATAATTATTGACAAAATGTATATTGCAGATGTTAGCCACATTGGTAAGTTAGCTACAAAGATAGCCATTAGACAGTTATCATTGCCATTAATTGCCTCGTCAAACTACGAAAACGTTCGTTTGTCACAAAATAAATTACACTTGTTTGACATAGATTTGAGGGCTTGAGCAATTAAGCAATCATACACGAGAGGCCGTTCTTGAACGTCATTATTGGTACGACAGTACTGCGGCAGGACCGAGGCGCTTGCGCCGAGGTCCGTACAATAACGGCCTCAAGTGTATGATTGCGATTCTATTACACAAACTATCATTGTAATCAACAATATCGTAAAAATAATTTCATAATGTGGTCTAATTTGCTCCCAAACCTACGCTTTCTGCTTGAGTTAATCTCCGTCAGAAAGTAGTTCCTAGAAAGTAGTTCCTATGGTAACGATAGCCGATCAAACACTCCTGCTACCCCGCTTACAGTTAATGATATAATATAATTATAGTAAATAATATATTATCGCACTTTCTCCGGTCCCCGAGATTGGGCTTTCAGTAGCTCTGGAGAGAGCTTTCGCACCTGTGGCTACTAACGGTCATAATTTCTCTGCTTTGTTTCAAGACCCGCATCAGAAAGCTTTTTAATGGTGGTACTTCTCCAGTTGGTCTACCTGCTCTTCACGTAGCTCTGCATGTCGTCGTTTATGTGCTTTTTTTTCTGGAGATAGGCACTCCTCAATCCACTCCTCCATAGTAAGACCCCCCCGGAGGTCGAAGTTAATCTTAAATGTTTCCATCTTATGCTTTGTAAATTTGTTTCGTAACGGAAGAAATTTAAATATATTTATAAACTGACAAGTCAAATCAAGCAATCTGATTGGTCGATAGTGTTTTTACGGACCTCTTTGATTACAGATTTGAAAACAACGTTGCTTGCTTTAAAAGTAGCTCAATTCATTATGTCAAACCTTGGAAAGTATCTAGATATCCCTGCCCTAATGCCAAAGGAACTGCACACTGAATATGTTTTGCCGTTTGATGTGTATGTCTGGACCGCTGTGTAAAAAGGAGGGTTTCTGCCCCGTTACTTCTCCGCTGCTTTCTTGTTCCAGTTTGAAATTCGGCCCAACGGTATACTGTTTTTCTCAGACGCGGAGGGATACTGACTTGTTGTGAAAAGGCACGTTCTATTTGATCGTTGTTTGATCGTGGAATCAAACACGCCTATTGACCAATCAGAGAGCTTGCTCACACCTATGTGTTATATAATTATGTTATCTATCACATTCGCTAACCTGTCTGTCTTTAAATTCTTTAAACAGCTCTGGATTCCGGTCGGCGGGGTACTTAGCCAAGTCTGATGTGTTGGCTCCCTTGGTTTGCAGGATCTAAAACATTTCTCACAGACAGGCCTCGTGGTGTCCGTAGGCTTGCCCTCACTGTCAGAGATATAGCTAAAATACTTCCAAATTTAGCTTCTGACGTCTTTTTTGTCAACAAGCCGAGGCGCAGCGGTAGTTGCACTCCCACTTGCAGCCATGCTTCTCGTTTTCTCACATGCTCTGGCAGCTAGCGCGTGGCCGCGTGCACGAGAGAGGGGAGGGACTTAGAACGTGCTTGAGAGGGGCGGGACTGCAGGCACGGCTGCAGTGCAGGGAGTGGAAGCAGAGCGCTGAACACACACGGCTCTTATTAAAACGGCGCTTTCTCACCGGAGTACTTTTCCCCGTCATTCTTAAAGTACCGATACTAATGAAACGGAGGAATCGTACCGTTTTTAACGGCAGGGTATCGCGGTACCTTTCAAGTAACTACAAGATAAAGGCAGTACAAAACAATAGGGAACTTGTTACACTAAAGTAGAGAATATTTTCATTTACACAATCTTATAACGAGCAAGGTTCAACTGATACTCTTACAAATATTCATGAGACTATAGATCACCTGTGACCTTCCTTATCCTGCTCAGTCAAACATCAGATACAACGGGTCATAAATATTTATTATAGTATCTTTGCATTTTAAAAATGGATACAATATGCCTTTGTGAAACATTTGTCACGCTAAGAATGGCTACAGCTTCTGAGAATAGTGCACAATGCTTCAGCTCTTTCTTGGACGTTGTATTTAAGATATAATGATATATGTAATGAGTCGTTTTGCATTGTTTCCGAGCAATGTGTGCAATAATAATATATTTTATTTATAAGCGCACTTTTCATTTGCGTAAACAAAACTCAAAGTGCTACAAAATTAAAAAGGGTGAAACAAAACAATAAAAACAATTAAAACAACATAATAAAAGCTGTGACATTCATGCCGGCATGGCATAGTGTGGGGGATTTAAAAATCTAGTTAAAGGCTATTCAACGTCCTCTTACTATTTCTATGTAATGTGTAAGTCAAAGTCAACTTTATTGTCAATCTTTCAGTTTGTGTGTACAGAAAGAGAGATCGAAATACCGTTTCCCACAATCCCCAATACAAATATGTATACAAATATGTATATCCTATATATACACAATCAACAGACACATTTATATGCACAGCAATGTCAGCAAGATACATTCCTTTACAATCCCGTTTTTTTGTCGAGCAATGTGTTTCTGACTCTCCTTCTCCTTCCTGCTCCTCAGGCGACGGCTGCTGCAGCTCAGGCCAATCTGCTGAGGCAGCAGGAGGAGCTGGAGAGGAAAGCTGCGGAGCTGGACCGCAGAGAGCAGGAGCTGCAGAGCCGGGGCCCCACAGGTCAGTGCAGACAGACACTCTGCGGTACGACCAGCTGCAGCACCACTCGCTGTGCTGCGTCTGCATTATGTATCAGGGAGAGGAGTTGAAAACATTTGTGCATACTGTACACTACGGTATGAAAAATGCTCTGAAATGCACATAACAGATATTCGTGGCAGAAAATGCAGCAGAAGGAGATTGCATTATCTTGTTCCAAGGAAAGTTATTTCAGTCAATCTGCATTCTCTGGTAAAGCTGCAGTTTTTTAGTTTCCCTTTCCTGTAGTGTGTTATATAGGTTTTAGTGCATGTCAATGGTCTGCAAACGCTAAAATCCCAAAGTTCCCTCCAGAGGGAGTTTCTCTCCCACACACTCTGAAACGCCTCCATTGGACTCCTTTGTTTGCTTCCGTAACATGGTGTCATCACTATGTTACACTCACGCTTCTATTGGCAAGCGCTCCGACACACTGTACGTGATAGGCTAAGGGGCGGGACATCTCTAAGCGGTTGACCAATCACAACAGAGCCGGCCAGCTAACCAATCAGAGCAGACTGGGCTCTGGTTTCAGACAGAGGGTGAAAAGAGGTGCTGCAGCACAGGCAGTATGAAAACAATAAGGAGCTTTGTGAACATTAAAGCATGGAGACATGTAGAGACACTACATACTGATATGAACCTGAAAATGCGCAAAATAGGTCCCCTTTAAAACCTGCTCACTCTGACAACAATTTTTTTTTTGTGATCAAATTTGCATTGATGTTAATACACAACATGTACAACTACAAGCACAACATTTTTTTCTTTTAAAAAAAAATGAAATAACCGAAGGTACACAAGAGGAACAAAATGAGATAAAAGTAATTACTTACAAAATATACAAAATGCAGAAAACACATAAGCTAAAAATAATAACAAGACAACGAAAATAAAATAAAACAAACCCTACCCTCCCTCCCAGACATATATACACACACACACACACACACACACACACACACACACACACACACACACACACACACACACACACACACACACACACACACACACACACACACCACACACACACACACACACACACACACACACACAGGGAAACGCAAAGGTCGCAATTGAAAAGGCTGTGGTTTATGGAAAGGGAGGAATCATTCTAAAAGATCTTTGAAGGAATCGACTGCCGAGCGTCAATTGTTTACATTAGTGTCATTTGTCCTATTTATTCGGGCAGTTGACAACTCTAGATAAACAACATCCAGAGATGCAAGGACCCAGTGTCTGAAGGTGAGGGAATTAGGAGGCTTCCATCGAAACCGCAACCATCTTTTTTGCAGCTGTTAGGCCAGCTAGTAAGATGCGCATCTTAAGCTTGGTGATATTGAGCTTTGACAGATTCTCTCTGACCATTTTGCATATACTTCCTCTTAGGCATGAGTTAACTTTGCTTCACTGGATGGGGGAGATATTATGCACATTCCCTCATCAGCAGATCCGTATCGTTATTCCAGAGCCACAGCTGTGAATATATACACAAACTTGCTGTTCTTAAACTCTTAAATAAACCTCATTAGATATCTCATCTGACTGTGGCTGCTTTATAGTTAATTATATCAAACCTGCGGCATGCGAAATCGTCCTGCTTTTGGAAGCCAGCTCTTCCTCTCTCACAGTAAATATGTGGTCTCTTGTCTCGACAGGTAAACAGAACAACTGGCCTCCACTTCCTAAGAGCTTCCCCATCAAGGCATGTTTCTATCAGGACTTCTCAGAGGAAATCCCCCCCGAGTACCAGAGAGTCTGCAAGATGATTTACTACCTCTGGATGTGTGAGTGCATTCAAGGATTTTTTTATTTGATTTGATTTATTTCGAACGTGTAAAACAATAATCCAAACAAATCAGAATCAGAAACAGTTTTATTACCAGGTAGGTTTACACGTACGAGGAATTTGACTTGGTGTCGTGGTTCATACATAAAAGTAAAACAAACATTTAAAACACAGGTAGAGAACTAGAAAAATAATAATAATAAAAAATATAGTAAAATATAACAGTAATGATGCTGTACAAACTTAAGCAGTATCAAATTGATAAACAAAAATATTATTGACTTACAAATGATATATAAACAAATGATCTACCTAGTTACACATCCGAAAAGGGGTGGGAAGAAGTTTACACTCATTTAATCCCACCCCTTCTCCCAAAAACTACATTATTAACATATATATCTTTCTTCTTTTAACTAAATGTACATCTACATGTGTCTACATGCAATATCCATTTACAAATTTAAATAGATTATACAATTATTACTACAATATATCTATTTATATATTGTTCTTTCACGTTGTATGTCATATTTTACAAGACAAATATAAAAGACTATCTTTTTACATCCACCATCCAAAATACATTTGGTATTAAAAAAACATAAAAGCAATACATAAATGAAAAACAATGATAGGTGTATGCTGTTTTTGTGTTTCTCTTATTTTCCTATGATACTGTTATGATTGGCTGTGAATAACAAAATACACATCCTGTAACAGTTCTGAGGATTTAGCAGCCAGGTATATACTGCACAGTTATTAACGGCATATATATATATATTGCACATATAGCACATAGTTGGTATTTAACAGCAAGGGGTGTTATAGTCTGTGTTGTGGTGTGTGTGGGGGTCTACTAGTGGCCGTGCTGGTTATATAGTCTGAATACCATGAACTAGGGCTACTCAATTAATCGTATTTTAATCGCGATTACGATTATGGCTTGCAACGATTACAAAAACAATGTAATCGAAATAAAACGATTATTTTTAAATTATTATTATTACTTTTTTTTTTTTTTTTTTAAATAATTTGTTTTGGTTTTTGGTTTTTCAGTTGAATTAAACTTAAAGTTCAGGGTAATCAACTGTTAAAAACATACTGTTCACATTTTCTTTCTCCAATAATTGGATGTTTTCAAAGTCAATGAATAATCGCATTTAATAATCGCAATTACAATTATTGACCCAAACAATCGAGATTATGATTTTGCCATAATCGAGCAGCCCTACCATGAACGGAACAAATCAAAATGAAATGTGTGCAGTAGTTATTGATCTTTAACTATCTTGTGTCTCTCTGCTGCTTCCTCAGTCAACTGCGTGACACTGTTCCTCAACCTGCTGGCGTGTTTGGCGTATTTCACCACGAAGGCCTCGTACGGAGTGGACTTCGGACTCTCCATCCTCTGGCTCATCCTCTTCGCTCCCTGCTCCTTCCTCTGCTGGTACCGGCCCGTCTACAAGGCCTTCAAGTGAGCCTCCCCTCCTCAAACATCTCTGTGTTAGAAAAATCTCACTCTTCCCCGGCTTGAGCTTCAATAATCAGGATCCATGTATCTGTGATCCTCTCCAGAATGGAAGTAGTCATCACATAGAGAGCATCAACTAGTTCCTGAACAGTGTCCTTCACATGCTGATATCCAAGAGAGGGAGTTACACAGTCACAAGATGGAGGAATAGAAAGCAGTATTCAATGTTTACTTCAGATTAGCTCCACCCAGAAATGAGCATGCTTGTCATATGTCTGTCTCCATAGAGGCTGAATCATCATGTTAATCACATAGCTATCATATGCCTCAAACAGTCCTGATGCTCTTCTAGGTAATCACACATCCTGTCATGTACACAGCTACAGTTGGGATACCTTTGTTATCATGTGTACTCTGATATTGGAAGAGTACATTCAGTATTTTCCCAAATGAGATTTAATTTAAAGGAAAAAATGACAAATGTTGTTATTGATTTGTTCTAAACTCACCAACATAGGTAGCTCATTTATGAGTGGTAGTGCTAAATGTAACTCGGCAGGTACAATCAGTTAATGTTTATTATTTATTTTTAAATACATAAGCATTGGTTTGCATATTTTTGATGCACTGTTCAATTAGGAGGTGTTAATAACTTTAAGGAAATGAAAGCAATATATTATTTTTAACCATTTTACAATTTAACTGGCAGGTGAAAAGTGCTCCGCAGTGGGTGAAACTGAGCACAAACAAACGTATTGAATAGTAGGGCTGCACGATATAGGAAAAAACTGATCTTAAAGGTCCCATGTCATGGCCATTTCCACTGATCATAATTCCATTGTTGAGGTCTACTAGAATAGATTTATACTGTGCAATTTTCCAAACTCACATTGGTTTCGCATACAGCATCTCTGTAAAGTATGTGTATACAGCATACACTCCACTAAACGGCTCGTTGCAGCTCTTGCCCCCCCCCTCCCTGTGTGCTCCGATTGGTCGGGACCAGTCGGGACGTTGTGAATCGCGCTGAGCTCCGTGGAGGTGTTATTTCCTTGTTTAGCGATACACAGCGAAACTCACCCTGAGCACACACAAAGTCACAGCCGAAGTAAAAACAATAAGTGTGGCTTGATATTGAGTAAGAAAAAGGTTGATAAACGCTGTGAGAATGGGTCTGCAGAGAGAATGGGTCTGCAGAGAGAATGGGTCTGCAGAGAGAATGGGTCTGCAGAGAGAATGGGTCTGCAGAGAGAATGGGTCTGCAGAGAGAATTTCGCCGCGATCCCAACTGTCTGTTATCAGCCTGCAGCCAGGGAGGAGAGATCAGCAGAGCTGCCTGCACTGAGTGTGTGAGGAAGTCCGTGGATTGGTCAATTTGGACCAATCAGCGGGGGCTTAACGTAACCGCTCCGCGGATGTAACGTAACGGCTCCACGGATTGGTCCATTTCGCTCGGGGTACGGATGACATCATGATGTACCCGGAAGAATCAAATGGACAATGACGTATCTCCAACGAGGCGTTTTGGGGAGGTATTTTCTGTTTTAGAGTTTTACTCGCTACAGGGTGTACCTTGAGGGTTTTGACTCTGCACACCGTTTACATGCATAAAAACCTTCATGACACACAAGGGGACGGGTAATAACCAGAAAAGCATGACATGGGACCTTTAAGTTATCAGAGCAACGAGCTGAGCTAACTCGGTTAGCAGCACCGAACTGCCCTGGAGAAACACATGAAACGACTTTATTCAGTGTTTTTACCTTTAATCACCGGGTCCGTTAGCTTTGGAGATTTGATTGTGATTGGTGGTTTGCTGTCACTCACTCAAGTACCCCTGACATGAGAGCCGCGCAAGTTTTCCTTTTGTAGCAAGCAGCAAAATAATTGTAACATGACGAGTTAATTTGCCTACTTAAAATCGCACGTCCTGCGATGTGAATATGCGCATATCGCGATTATCGTCACGACACGATATATCGTGCAGCCTTATTGAATAGATAACAATCATAACACAGTCATCTTATATTTTGTCACAGTATGAGGACAGTAAAACATCCTGGGTTGTCCCAATATGTGAAATCACTGACTCTTGAGAGGAATTGCTCCTCTTCTTAGACTCAGTCTCATCCTTTAACCAAACGCCTCATAATGGTATACTAGTTGTTATAAGACTCGGTCAGAGACGCACAACACAAACTTTTTTTTATCACCAAATGATCTTTTTTTCCTGATGTGTAATATTTAAAGTAACCTGCTTTTTTTTCTTGTTTCAGGGCTGACAGCTCCTTCAACTTCTTCTTCTTCTTCTTTGTGTTTTTCTGCCAAGTGATAGTCTTCATCATCCAGACTGTAGGCATCCCCCAATGGGGCAACAGGTCAGTCTCACGCTGTACATGGTACATGTTTAATATCCAAGGGTTCATGTGCTCAGGTATATGGGGCTGACATTTCTGAGAGATTTAAGAAAAAATCAGATGGCAAACCATTGAAAGTAAAAAAAACAATATGTCTAATTCCAAATCCCGTTGATTTCCAAATCCCGTTGATTTCCAAATCCCGTTATATTTTGCCAGGAAACGTGAATACATGGGTTCAGGAAAAAAACGATTGTAACTAAAAGCAAAACAAACTTTGAACCTACAGATGACTGAGAGATTTAAAGGAAACTCTCATGTCCTTTGGTTCCTTGCCTTTAGGTCCAGAAGTACTTCCAATCAGCCGTCCTATGAGCTTCTGTCCTCGTTCAGCTTTTCTCATTTCCTGCGTTCTTTCGTTTCTTCTGACATTTCCTCCTTCAGCCTGTAGCCTGCTTCCTCTCTAGTACCTCATTCACACCAACGCAACTCCGGTTCAAGCTCCGTGCTAGAGGTTTTCAGGTTCAGAACCGGTTCTTCGGTTTAGCTCCGGCTCTTTTCACACCGCCCAGAGTCCGACTGGTGCTGCGTAATTGCGTCATCGTTTGCGTCATGACGTAATCGTTTGCGTGCCTGCTTCATAAAGCCGCGCGGAAACCCCTCACAGCTGACACCGACAACAACAACAATGGCCGATTGTGCTCCAGCTTCCTCTGTACCTCTTCGGAAGACCAGATTCCCAGTAGGTAGCTGGTCTCTTCAGTGGACCACTGCTGCTTGTTAAGTTTCTCCATCGTTGTGTACAAACTGGATAAAACTCAGCCTTCTTGTTGTTGTTCAGGAGTTGATCCCGCCCCTGCCCCTGCCCCCCCCTCGACGTAAGCGTGACGTATGTGGTGCTTTTGCTCTAGCCGGACAATTTTTTGGTGCTTGAAACGAACCGGTTTCCGGAGCTAAGAGGCTGCTCCGCTGCGGTGTGAAGAGGAAAACCCGGTGCTTTTCAAGCTCCAGCTCCAAACCGGCCCTGAAACACCGTTGGTGTGAATGAGGTATACATTTCTGCTGCTTTCTGTCTCTGCCACCTTCTGACAACCCTCTCTTCCGGCTTTGTCTTCATAAACTTGTATTTTGGTTTTGGAAAATACAAGTTAAGTTGTAAATGGATCTGTACCGGTTTTACTTTATACGTGATTGCGATTTTTTTCTATCGCAATCACGGTTATTTTCCTTTTAAAAAGCACATTCATATTTGTATTTTGTGCCTCTACTGTGACATGTCTCCATGCTTTAAAGGTCACCTATTTTGCAAAATCCACTTGTTCACGTCTCTTCTACATCAACATGTGTCCCCTCTGTGTAAAGAGACTCTGAAAGTTTCAGGAACAAAGATTCTCTCTCTTTTTGTCCTGATCCATTTCTATAAAAACCTGTCTGTAAATGAGCTGATCAGATTTTGGCCACTTTATGATGTCATAACGATTTTTTGGCTTGTGTAACCATTAGCCAATCACCAACCAAGGTAACCCCCCCCACCTTATCACCTGAATCTCCTCCTAGAGCACCATTAGCCGCTTTAACACCAAGTACTTTGCCGTACTTAGTTCCCAGCCCTTAGTTCCCCCATGGAACCAAGAGCCGATCGTGTTCACACCGGAATAAGTTCCCTGAGGGAAGATTACGCAAATGAAGCCGCTGACGCCACTTCTTCTTCTTCTGCTTTGGGTTTACTGGCAGGCCGCAAACAACTTCACGGCGTATACTGCCACCCAAAGTCCCCGGCCGGAAGTCCCCGGCCGGAAGTCCCCGGAGTTGGGGACTGGCTTCAGTAGAAGCTGCTGGGAGTCCCAGCAGCTTCTACTGAAGCCTTCTGAGTAAATCGCCAGAACGCCGACACCTCCTCATCTCCACCGCTCCCATGTTTTCTTTTGTGTTGCCATAAGTTAGTCTTTCTGCGTTGGTGCGCTGGGCTAATGCTAATGCTAATGCCAGCAAATACAATGAAAACTTTTCCGAGTTTTACGGGGTGTGGTTTGCAATCGCCCAGCCAATCAGAAATTGGAACTTTTTTCTCCCCAGGAAAGTACCTGCTCTCTAGCAGGCACTAAAAAGGGGGTAAAAGTTCTCATGAACTAAGTTCTCTTTTTGGTGTGAACGCAAAATCCCAGTCACTATCGGAACTAAACGGGAAAAGTACCAAATCTCTCTCAGAGGGGCGTGGGGAGGGGCTCCTTATTTTCATCTAAACAGACTTTTGAAACAGGGCTGAAACAGAGGGGATTATGGGATGCTGCCATGATCTGTTTGGTGTTTGGAGCCAAACACTTCAGAGACATGTTTTGTATATAACTGAGACCTATAATATATTGATGAAAAACAGTATAATAGGAGACCTTTAATGTTCAAAAAGCTCTTTATTTTTCTGCAGCATCTCTTTTCACCCTCTGTCTGAAACCAGAGCCCAGTCTGCTCTGATCTGAATCATGTTACGTTAACATCTTAAATGTATATATTGTGTGTGTATTTTTGCATGTTAGGGCGCACAGTGATTTTGAAAGGTAATGTTAACCTGTCACACTCGTTTGGTTTCATTTAAATACGCAGAGGTTGATGAAAACCCTTTGATTTTAAAACGGCACTTTACAGAATGCCCCTTATCCAAGTGGCTCTTCATTTCCTTCTTTTTTCATTTTGTAATGATACTTCTCATTTCATCATGGCTTTGCATAATATCAAAACAGACACAGTCAAGAGGACCCGCACTTGTTTTGTAGCTGAGATGCTAATCAAGCAGAAGCACACTTTCAACAATGTATTCTGAAAACAACAAAGGCACTTTTAGGATGTTAATATGAACACACACTTTGAAATGTGTTTATTTAATATTTAAGATGCATTTATTCATTTTGTAATAATACTGATCTACTCTGCTCATCATTGAGTGTTTTTTAACCCACTTTTCTGATTGACAACCTTCTCTTAGCTGCTTCTTCTTGTATCTCAGCCTTTCTTTCACTTCCCTTCTTTCTTCCTTTATCTTAAAGTAACCCATTTACAGAATACATACTTTGTGAACCCTAATATTAAGATGACCTGCAGTTTTATTTAAAGGTCACCTATTATGCAAAATCCACTTCTCCATATCTCTTCTACATGAACATGTGTCCCCTCTTCTTCGTGTCTCTTCTACATCAACATGTGTCCCCTCTTCTCCATGTCTCTTCTACATCAACATGTGTCCCCTCTTCTTCATGTCTCTTCTACATCAACATGTGTCCCCTCTTCTTCATGTCTCTTCTACATCAACATGTGTCCCCTCTTCTCCATGTAACCTCTCTACATCAAACGTGTTCCCTCTTCTTCATGTCTCTTCTACATCAACATGTGTCCCCTCTGTGGAAAGAGACTCTGAAAGTTTAAGGAAAAAAGATTCTCTCTCTTTTTGATCCATTTCTATAAAAACCTGTCTGAAAATGAGCTGATCAGATTTTGGCCACTTTATGATGTCATAACGATGTGTTGGCTTGTGTAACCATTAGCCAATCAGCAACCAAGGTAACCCCCCCCTCCCCCTTTATCGCCTGAATCTCCTCCTAGAGCACCATTGACTTCTTTGTAAACAATTCTCTCTCTGAGGGGCGTGGGGAGGGGCTCCTTATTTTCATCTAAAGTAACAGACAGAGAATCAGCACTTTGGAAACAGGGCTGAAACAGAGGGGATTATGGGTAATGCTGCAATGATCTGTTCGGTGTTTGGAGCCAAACACTTCAGAGACATGTTCTGTATATATCTGAGAGCTATAATATATTGATGAAAAACAGTAGGGACCTTTAAGTTGTTAATGAGATCATCGTTATTGTCTTTGTGTCCTGCAGTGGTTGGATCACTGCCTTCGGTATCATCGGCACCAACAAGGCGGTGGGAGCCATCATGATCATCGTGGCGATCCTCTTCACCATATGCGCCGTGCTCTCCATCATCCTGCTCAAGATGGTGAGACTTCAGCACTTTGTATACCATTCATTAAATGCGTGTTATCAGCTATGCCATTTGACTAATCTCCTCTTTAACTTGGGTGAAGTGGATTTAGTTGTTTCTTAGTTTTTTAAATGTTGGTTTGCTGGGTTGGTTGGAAGGGATCTACGGTAGTCCACTGAGGAGATAAAACCAAAAGTTTGGGGAAAAAAATACAATTTATTTATTTATAAAGTTTTTTATCCTGAAATCTGGAAAATACAACATTTTCAAAACTAAAAACAAGTATTTTGAAAAGTGTTCAACTCTATTTTTAGAAGTCACTACTGTACATTGCAATTTAACAATATAATACAGAACAGTTTGGAATTGTGGAAAGATATTTAGATATTTCTTTATATTTATAAATATCATAAGTAAAGTCAAACGTGCCAGCAGAGTAACTGACGCTCCGATAGCAACAGGCAAGGCAATAAGCCTCGATCTGTGTGTCAAAAGATTATGCATTGAGTCCTTGAATTTGATGGAATTAGACCTCGAAAGTCTTTGAAAGTCCTAAAATGTTGTATTTAGGCAGCTGCGAAACACTGGTAATACGAATTAACATATTGTGTAGGTTTTAAGCAGCACTGCCAGACCGTCCTGTCCTAACCTTTAACTCCCACACTCTCATTTATTTCCATTTTTTAAATACCATAGATAAGCAAATACACAGTATGATAACTGTCCATTTTACTACCATAGTATTCTGTGAAACTGGAATACCGCTGCAACTATAACCCTAAACTGTGCAATATATACCTGGATGCTATATCTCAGAACTGTTACAGGATGTGTATTTTCTAAATTGTGTATAATTTTGTATATTTAATATTTATCAATGCATGCTTCGTGGGTAATATTAAGCTGTGTTTGGCTCTTGCTGTAACAAATGCAAATGTCCCCTCTGTGGGACGAATAAATCAAATCAAAATGTATTATATCCCCAAATCACAAGAAATGCCTCAAAGGGCCGTGCAAAGCAAACGAGGACAAAAACAAAATACAAACGTTATAGCGTAAAAATTATAAAAACATTATACCTCAACATAAGTATTGCCATGTGATAAAAGCATGTGACTGAACTGATGGTAATGTTGAACGGAAACTAGGTGATGGAAATTAGTTTACAAGGAAGACAGATACGAAGAGATGGGTTTTCAGTTTGCTTTTAAAGGAGTCAACGGAAATCGCTTCGGATCTGAAATGGAACACGATTCCAAAGGAGAGCTGCTCGGAAGGAAAAGGCTCTGCCACCTACGGATGATTTGTGAACTCTGGGGATGGAAAGGAGACTGGTAAATAAAGCTATTCTGATTCTGATTCGTGGCGATTTCTTTCTCTCCTCAGGTCCACAGCATGTACCGCCGCACCGGGGCCAGCTTCACGAAGGCGCAGCATGAGTTCTCGCAGGGCGTCCTCACCAACAAGACCTTCCAGACGGCGGCTGCCGGAGCGGCCAGCACCGCGGCACAGGGAGCCTTCCAGGGGAACAGAGGCTGAGCTGAGCTGCATGCCCCAGGTCAAGGTCTCTATGTTATCAAGTCCAGATCATTCACTAGATCAAAGCAGAATGTATCAGGAAGCTGAGGTTCACTGAGAACTTCCTGGAAGTTATTGGAGGCGGCAGATTTTAATCTCACTTTATAACGTACAGACCTTGAGCTAGGTGAGGCTACATGATTAGCCTCCCTCCTTTCACTCCCACTATCGATGCACATGTAACTCCCCATGTCTCACATCCAGCATGTCTCCTGCAGAGTGACTGCGTTGTCTCTGTATGTAAAAAGCAGTCGAGGTGGGAAGCAACACACCAAGTGCATTCTGGGGTGAAAGCATGAATGAAGTTGACTTGATAGCTATTTAGTATGTCCTGGCTTTGTATATTTTGTGTGCACTTTTTTGGCAATGCTCTTCAGTGTGTGTGTGTGTGTGTGTGTGTGTGTGTGTGTGTGTGTGTGTGTGTGTGTGTGTGTGTGTGTGTGTGTGTGTGTGTGTGTGTGTGTGTGTGTGTGTGTGTGTGTGTGTGTGTGTGTGTGTGTGTGTGTGTGTGTGTGTGTGTGTGTGTGTGTGTGTGTGTGTGTGTGTGTGTGTGTGTGTGTGTGTGTGTGTGTGTGTGTGTGTGTGTGTGTGTGTGTGCATGCTGATCACATGTCTTCTTGTGGGCGCAGTAGCTTCTGTCTCTCCACACTAGTGGACCCTGATCCTGTAATATAAATAATGAAGTGCGTTTTTCTGTCTTAAAGGAATTCTCTTTGCTGTTGAAACTATTTTTGGCGAACCATCTCTTAAGTGTGCGGCAAAGTTAATAAGGAACAACAATTACAGATCAATCATGCACTTAATTGTAATCTGGCGCGCCTTAGATTTGGGGGAAATGACTGTAAATATTCATTCAAATCTACGGTTTATTAAACAATCCCCATCAATTGAGATTATAGTACAATGTCTTAAAACATGTCCCTTTTACTTTTCTCTGGAACCAAACTCGGAACATTTGTTGAAATGTTGGTATTTGGTTTCACATAAAAACTATTTATACACAAACGTCACATCCATAGAGTACTCTGCTTTTTCCCCTGCTTGTAAACAGCTAATTTAATTTCTTTTATAATTAAGAATATGGAGAAAATATAAATTGATTTCACTCTGCATCAGATTTCTGTTTCCTATAATATACATGTTTATGAAGCGGCTTCAAATTCTTCTTTGCTTCAAGACCGTTTGTCCAAAGAAACCAAAGCATTACTGACTTTTTAAAAAAGGAAAATGTTGCTGATGAAATGGAGTCAAAGTAGATACTGTAATGGGCTGAGCCTATTCATTTGCTTTCAATGCTAAGAGGCAGAGCTGCTGTTACCATGTAGATTAACAGTATGGAAATCAGTCGGTGTGGAAAATATGAATTATAAGAAAACATCTCAAACACTGTATTGAGGTTCGTAGTGAATCTGATTGTCCTTTTATTCTCGAACCGTAGATAAACGTACCCTTCTGAGAACCGGCCTATAATCATCACCAGTATGCAGGTGTTATAATTGTAATACATTCTTTGCTTCAATCTCACCTTGCAGTAATTTCCTCTCTCGTTGTCTACTTGTACCTCTCAAAGACGACCACCAAGCTTTAAATTATTTTTCGTACTGATGTATATTTTCTATTGAATTCCTTATATTAAAAAACATGCACACGTGTTATTTTCATATACTGTTCTAAAACATCAGCTTGGATTGATCACCTGTTAGCATTCCTGAAGAAAGACTGCAAACCGTGTGATGTTTTGTCTGATTTATTGTTTGGTCTTTCATCCATTACATACCACAAGATCTGTATTAATTCACACATCACTGTTTGCGTTGTTGTGAGAGAAAATAATTCAGTGCCTTTCGTATTTCAATATTGGATTCATCATCTAATAAAATGCTTTGCTTTCATTTGAGGCTGGAGTTGTCTTTTTTTAACAGCCTTAATCGTTTTTGATAATGCTATGAATGTTTTAATAAATAATCTTAGATTCAGAACATACTGTGAAAATAAAGATATCTGGGTTTGTGTCAAAGAAGAGGTTGTGATGCTTTTATTTTTGACATCATGTATTTGTAGTCAGTAAGCATGCTAGTTTCAGAAGATAGCACTTTAACATCCTCACATACTGTTAATATGTAATGTTAATTTCTGAAAGTAAAAATGAAGGCATCCTCTCATCTAAAGGAGGGTACTAGCAGATGTATGACACACAGTATTGAAGTTGATTCCTATTTTCATAACCTGCAAATATGACATATTAAAGAGGATATATTTGTTCATTTCCAGGTTCATATCAGTATTTTGTTCCTCTGTGACATGTCTCCTTGCTTTAATGTTCAAAAAGCTCTTTATTTGTCTCATACTGCCTGTGCTGCAGCACCTCTTTTCACCCTCTATTTCTGCTCTGATTGGTTAGCTGGCCGGCTCTGTAGTGATAAAGGCGTTTATAAGTAAGTACAGTTTATTTATAAAGCGCTTTTCACAGACAAAGTCACAAAGTGCTTGACAACACAATAAAACATCATCATAGGAATCGTACAATGATAAGGACCACGCAAGGCAAGGCAAGGCAAGTTTATTTATATAGCACTTTTCAACACAAAGCAATTCAAAGTGTTGATGAAAAAAAGACATTAAGAAAATGGCATTTATTTTCATTTCATTTCAAACCTTTATTTAACCAGATTGGTCCTATTGAGATCATCGATCTCTTTTTCAAGGGAGACCTGCATTAAATCAGTCATTAAAAAGAAAAGCTAATAAAATAAACATTAAAAGAAAAAATACATGGATCAAAGTTACAGTGCAGTTTAAGATATGAATAGTTCAATTAAAAGCAGCGACAAAAAGAAAAGTCTTCAGCCTGGATGTAAAAGTAGTCAGAGTTGCAGCGGACCTGCAGGTTTCTGGGAGTTTGTTCCAGATATTTGGAGCATAATAACTGAACGCTGCTTCTCCATGTTTAGTTCTGACTCTGGGGACAGAAAGCTGACCAGTCCCTGAAGACCTGAGAGATCTGGATGGTTCATAATTTAGCAGGAGGTCAGTAATGTATTTTGGGCCTAAACCATTCAGTGCTTTATAAACCAGCAGCAGTATTTTGAAATCTATTCTTTGACACACAGGAAGCCAGTGTAAAGACTTCAGAACAGGAGTGATGTGATCCACTTTCTTAGTGTTAGTGAGGACTCGAGCAGCGGCGTTCTGAATTAGCTGCAGCTTCCTAATAGATTTTTTAGTGAGACCTGTGAAGACACCATTGCAGTAGTCGAGTCTACTGAAGATAAAAGCATGGACAAGTTTTTCCAAATCCTGCTGTGACATTAGTCTTTTAATCCTAGATATATTCTTTAGGTGATAGTAGGCTGATTTAGTAACAGTTTTAATGTGACTGTTGAAACTCAGGTCAGAGTCCATGACTACAGCTAGATTTCTGGCTTTATCTGTTGTTTTGAACATTGCACACTGAAGCTCAGTGCTAACTTTTAAACGTTCTGACTTGGCTCCAAAAACCATTACCTCAGTTTTATCTTTGTTTAATTGGAGAAAGTTCTGACACATCCAGTCATTGATTTGTTCAATGCACTTACTCAGTGTTTGAATTGGAGCATAGTCTCCTGGTGAAATTGTTGCGTACATTTGTGTGTCATCTGCATAGCTATGGTAACTTATTTTGTTGTTTTTCATTATCTGAGCCAGTGGTAGCATGTAGATGTTAAAGAGAAGAGGCCCCAAGATGGAGCCTTGAGGTACCCCACATGTCATATTTGTCAACTCAGATGTGTATATTTACCTATAGAAACAAAGTTGTTTCTGTCCTTTAAGTAGGATTCAAACCAATTTAGAACTGTTTCCGAAAGTCCCACCCAGTTTTCCAGTCGGTCGAGTAATATGCTGTGGTCAACAGTGTCAAACGCAGCACTTAGATCTAATAATAGTAACACTGAAGTTCTGCCACTGTCTGTGTTTAAGTGGATGTCATTGAAGACCGTGTTAAGAAGTCTTAAAAGCACCAAAACACAATAAGATACAGTTTTGCCCTTTTAATTCTTACACTTTCTCCTTTGATTTTTTTGGTGATTGTTTTGTTATGAAGACTTGACATATTCAGACTTAAATGCACAACGTTTTATTCAAATGCACATATTCGGTTTGTACAGCTTTTTGAGTTTGAATGAGTTGATCAAATAATACAAACTAAAAAAACAGGAGAAGCGCAGGGACTTGTCTGTTTGGATGGAGGGTTTGTAATTCAACCCAACATGCACGGGGAAACAACTGAAATGTTTACTTGAATTAAATATATTATGTCAACAGATTTCACATAAATGTGTAAGGTTGGTTGAAAGCAATTATATTAGGTTTAAATAAAAAATATTAGGATAAATGTAAATTGGTTTCAACTAACCTAACACAGTTATGTGATATTTGTTGACATAATACTTTTAATTAAAGTGAACCCTTCAGTTTGTTCAGTGTGTGTTTTAACATCGCTTGTCCAGCAGATGGCAAAGTAGAGGCACATTTACAGTTGCTACATCTTAACGAGGTAGTTTGGGGATCAACATGATTTAATCTGCAAATAGTTTGAAAGAAAAGGCACAAAACCAATGTGTGACTGGAGGGTTTGAGTTTAGAAGTTAAATACTAAGGGACATCCTCAGGGATAATGCATACTTATTGATGTCACATTTGTCTTAACTTAATTAAATGTTTTATTGTGCAGAATTGTCTGCTATGAACATGTATTACTTTATACGTAACTTTGTGAAGAACCCCAACCTTTCTGGCATGGTCTGAAGCCATAACCTGTGGAGACGTTGTTATGCATTCATATTTAAGGTTACATCATCCACCAATTTGTAGTGAGTTTGGAGGATTCTTTTTACCACTAGAGGGAAGCATGTCTGTGCTGAAGGTCTGTGCAAAGTGAAATGCTGACTCACTGTCAGAAAGATCTGCAGCTAAAAACAAGCCATCTTCACTCTGCTACTGTAGGATGTTACATTATTTATGACTTCTTCAAGTGTCTCTTACAACACGCCTGATTGGAGCAGGTGACAGATTACCAAATTGATCGGGTCCTTTAGACTCTTGTTTATTCATAGGAACATTTATATGATGATATTTTGAAGTTTTGTATCTGAAATATTAATGAAAAAAACAGCAGATAAGAACTCCAATATGAAAGGGGCCCTGCTCCTTTTCAGGTTCATATTTGTATTTTGTGTCTCTACTATGTCTCCATGCTTTATTGTTCACAAAGCTCTTTATTTTTCTCATGCACCTCTTTTCACCCTCTGTCTGAAACCAGAGCTGCTCTGATTGGTTAGCAGGCCGGCTCTGTTGTGATTGGTCAAGTGCTTAGAGATGTCCCGCGTGCAATGTGTTGGAGCATTAGCCAATAGAAGAGCAAGTGTTACATAGCAATGTTATTATGTTACGAAAATAAAACAAAGGAGTCCAATGGAGGCGTTTCAGGTGTGTTGGAGAGAGACACTCCCTCTGGAGGGAACACGTGGATTCTAGTCTCTGCAGACCATGTACATGCACAACATCGTATATAACACACTGCAGGAAAGAGAAAACCCCCCAAAACATAATAGGGCCTCTTCAATGACAGGAACATATTTGCAATCTGCATCAAGGCAAACTGTAACTGGGACACATCTGAAAAACATTTGTATTTGCATACGAGTGTTAAATAGATGATAATTACAGTGAAAGGAGGGTTAAAGCTTACTTGTAGTCCCGACAGTAATAGGTGTGGAGTCTCCTTATTATCCCCTCAGTGTGATGCTGGCAGTTTTCTCTGGAACGCCCTCTGCTACACACTGAGATGTGCCAAGCTCAAGGTTGAACAGCAAAGAGGAATATTTCTCCGAGAAGAAAGAGGCTATTTTAAGACCTCTCTTCATTCTCTCTCTCTGTCTTTATCAGTGTGAGCTGATGTGTGACTGCGCATAAAAAACATGTTGGTTAATTTTCTGCAGATCATTTGAATAAGTCTTCCACATTCACCGCTCAAGACTGACTGCATTTATGCGTCTGAATCCTAAATGGAGACTAGAGGGAATGATTGACGTTCAGAGAAGTCTAATCCTGTTCATATGAATACTGTTAGACTTCACTGTCACGGTTTATTGTTGCATGAAGCTCTCTGATTCAGGTTTTGTGAAATTCCTAAACATTATCATGACACTGTCTAGGTTGGTTTAAGTTTTTTTGTCCACACTTCAAGCGTCAATTTGAAGGCTTTTTTGCAAGAGAAATATGTATCCTGGAAAAAGAGATGTGGACTTATGTCACTGTTATGATGACTTGCAACTTGACTTGACAGAAATAAATGACTTGAGACGTAACTTGAGAGATAAAGACTCAAATTATCTATCTAATGTTTTTTAAATTTGAATATTAAGTATAAAATATCAAAAATCTTCAACGTTGTGAATGATGACATTACAATGCAAATCCACGCTGTAGTGTAGTTGCACACTGGGAATGTTATTGTCATTATTGTATGGCTACTAGTCAAGTGTTTTAATCTCTCAAGATGCCCAAACAAAATATGAATTAACAGTTGGGTTAATGTGACAACCAACCCTGCTCACATTTGAATACACTGTGTGATTAAAAGTATGCAGCTATCCATCACTTATCATAACCTTCAAAATTGTTTTATGAAAATGTACTAAGCCATTTCCAATACCTCTAATTGTCCACTCCCCATTTCTTCCTTCGTACACTATAACACTGAATGTCTACCCTCTTCAAAACATTAGTGCATTTTAGACGTTTGAACATTGTAGATGCAGGTCAAGAAGGCAAAGTCTTTGTTTTTGTGCCCCTTCAAAGAACCCAAAGAACCCCAGTGTTCTCCACTTGAGACTTGGACCTAATTATTTAAAACAAACATCACAGTGCATGCCTCAGGGTTATTCCCATATTTAACTTTGTATACCTGCCTAAAACCTCCCAGGCACTTGACCTGGCTGGTGACTGCCACATGACGTCACTTCCTTCCTTCCCTGTCACTTTCCCGGAAAATGTCAACGCGGCCACAACTGTAAAGCTGTCCTACAGAAGTGTTTGTTATCGTTAAAACTACAAAACTTGGTTTTACCGTCAGATATGGAGTCGAAATGGCTATTTCAGGTATGTTTATAAACATACCTGAAATAGCCATATCCATATCCATATCGTATTATAATACGCTATTCTATGTCTAAAACCACTGTTATTATCATGGTATAGGCCTACCTGTATATGCCAGGTGCCCCAGAGTTTACAGTTGTAGATCTCACCTGGTACAGACGATGTTGGGTGTTTTTTTTGCACACATCAACTTTATTTATCTTTTACCAAAAATGTGAAGTTTTTTCATGATATTCATTCATTTAGGAGCAAGCTGCATTTTCACTCACCCTATGTTGGCTGTAGGAGGACAGTTATCTCCAGTGCAACCATTGGCGTTTAAAACAATACATGCTGACTTGTGTTAGTAAAACAATATCAAATTGGTCTCATATGTAGTCAACTTATTTTACCAGATGAATATTTTAATAGAAAAATAATCATGACAGTTCTTTCAATAACTCCCATGTTACGTGTGAATTGATTTTAATACCAACATTTATCAACACACTTGACTCAAAATACACAAATTGTTATACGAGATTTTGATAATAAATATATATATATATTCTTTAAATGCATGTTATTTTCTAAATAACTTTCAAAGCATAATGTCAAATACCAATGATTACCTAATGTGTTAAGATGTATCACTGCAGGTATCACCTCGTTTCGTCATATATTTTATATTTTAAATTATTATAATCGTAGTAATAATAATATAGTAGTTAAATAATAATATAGTAGCCAATATAAAGTGGCTGTGGTAATACAGTCTCTTATCTTATCTTGTTTTAAAGTAGGCCTATTGAACAACTTTAGTGCTTTTTTTAGTTATTTCTAAATATATTTTAATATAGGCTATCATTACCTGTGATATGACTGTTTTATCTTATTTGCAAGAGTTTCACTTCTTCAAAAAGTGCATAAATACTTCGACCAATCTGCAGGTAAAGAATGAAAGTCTTGCACCACATGCACCAAATAACTCTTATTTTGAAAGCACCACCGGAAACAAACTTGTTTGTACCCCTCTGGGATATTTCACAAGTGATCCCCTTATTGCCCCCCTCCCTCCCTCACCTCTCCTCCTCCTCACCCCCCCACTGGACTCTTCCCCTCTCTCACACCTTAGTTGTCATGGCGATGGAGTCAGCCTCGGCGTCCGTTGTTGCAGCAGTTGTTGCCATGGAGATGCCGGTGGTGCGAGGTGCGCTCCCGGTGGTAGAAGAGGACGAGGGTTACCGCGCGCCTCCCGGGTCCGAGGAGCGACTCCGGTATCGGCGTGGAGGAAGAGGTAGACGCAGACGCGGGGTCCCGTTCAACCGGAACGGACACTACATGCTGATAGTGGTCGGGGAGATCGGCACCGAGCAGCAGCTGGACGCCGTCAGAACGCACATAGAGCGGGGTGAGTGCCTGGGGAAGTCCCGGTGTGTGTCTGCGGAGGTTATCTGTGTGTGTGTGAGACAGAAAGTCATGAGAAACATCAGCATGGGAGGGAAGTGTTTTGACGCAATGGACAGGAGGGTTGTATGCATAGGTAGTGGCAGTTGCTGCAGCATTGCACCATGGGACACCACGCATTATCCAACACAGCCTGTGAACTCTATTACTGTGAAATTATTGCAGACTCCAGTTGTGGATGCAGCAAAGAGGGTACTTTAATAGAGTAGGAATAAGGCAAGCAGTCTACTCTTTTTGATTATTAACTATTTGAATGTATTTAGGATACAATCCACATAATACATTCATGACCAATCATGGCTGGATAAGTTCAGTACAATTATTTTCAACACGCACAACAACTGTGAATATCAACATCTGTGTTGCAGCAGTTTGCTTTGAGTGTGTGTTTGTGTGTGCGTGCTTGCGTGCGTGTGTGCGTGCGTGAGAATTTCTGGGGCGTCTCCACTGACAAAGTCATGTTGTATGAAAGTCTATGAAAAAAAGAAACCTACTTCTCACTTGATTCATTACCCTAGTTTACATTTTCCTAATGAGTTTATGGTCTCAACCTTTAGTTTCAAGTTTTTTTCAATCCACCACGATGTTCATTTTGTTAATTATTGCCCCATTTAAAATAAAATAGATGATAAAACAATGAATGCTTTTGGGCTGGGTTACCTTCTGATGACATGCTACAACAATGTTGTTCTCTTTGTGAGATATCCATGTTTTAGTTTGGTAACTTTAACCGTTTCACACTGTGCTAAGGTTCAAGTTAAAGTTAATTGCAATATGTCAGTCCGCCCGGAGTGATTCATACTTAGCTCCACCACCTAAACTTCTGTCTGCAAAAACCAAGATGGGGACTATCAAACTTAAAGCTTTGAAACAAGGAAGTGCACTGTTTCTTAGTTGGTGCTACTACAACTCCTGTGTCAGTCACATGATGCCATTGGACCCAAACATACTTGTTCCCCATTGACTTACATTGGGAAAGAGACATCTTTAAATCCTTTTAAATGTTTTTGTAACCAAATCAACTACCAACTACTGTACAAACACATGTACAGCACTGCTCTTCATAATTTGGTGCATAAATAAAAAAATATTAAATGAGAAGATGTGGAAAGATTCAATAATAGTGATTGTATTATTAGTTTTTTTGCAATATCTGTATACATCTTGAGTTTCTCTTTATTAAAAAAAATAGATAACAAAGAAAATACTTCGAAACATCGTTAACAAAGATGTTGGATGTCTCCCGTGTTATTTGGCCAACCCAGACAGAAAGCAGTCAATTCATCATCAGTTGTTACATGTTCATTTTCATTCACATTCCAGGGTTAAAACCAGAGGTGGAAGAAGTACTCAGTTCTTGTCCTTAAGTTAAAGTAGAAATAGAGTGTAGGAATTACAACGAAAGGTTCTGCAATCAAAATGTTAGTATTAACATCAAAATATACTTAAAGTACTGAAGTAAAAGTACTCATTCTGCAGATTGGTCCATTTCAGTATAATATATATTATAGGTTTTGTTTATTTATTATTGAAGTGTTATCAAAGCTGGTAAAGGTGCAGCTGAGTTCATGACTAACTGTATACTGCAGGGTAGCATATGACATTTCTGTAAAGTAAAAGTCTTATTTAATTGTTGATCATATTTTGTTCATTAACCTGTATCTGCAAAGTAAGGTATTATCATAAATGTAGTGGAGTAAAACTGCACCATTTACCTCTGAATTGTAGTGGAGTAGCAGTACAAAAAAGCATACAGTGGAAATACTTAAGTAAAGAACAAGAACCTCAAGAATGTACTTGAGTAGCAGTACTTAGTTACTTCCCTCCCTAGGTTGAACCCTCCTCCCAGCAGCAGCAGCTTCCTGGTGTCAGTGAGGTCTCTCTGGAGTTACGGGATGTTGAGCAGCAGGTGAAACATGTTGCTGTGACGATGAGTCGGGGGACGCTCGGCAGGTTTCTGTTGCCGGTCTGAAGCTGTTCTCTGTCCAAATGATTTAGATGCCAGTCTGGCGCCATAGCAACCCCATCCATCCCCTCGGACCCTCTCTAACAGAGGTTTTACTGCTCTGCTGCCAGCTCCATATCACGCTCATTACAGCATCGATCTTTTCGCCAGGCTGCTGCTTTCAGTGTTTTCAGTGTGACTCGTGTGAAGGACCTGACTGTCTTCACATCTGCAGGATCCGTCTGAAGGCCGGAGACACGCCTACCTACTAGGGTTGTCCTCAAACATGACAGAAAACATTACATTAATTTAGACACATTTGATTTCCTCATAATCTGACTATTGTTGCACATTATATATTGTTTTATTATTGATTAATGTGGCATTAAAGTGATAATGTTTTGGCTTGATTGTTGTGTCATCTAAATTAAGAACTTCTCCAAATCCCCAAAATCGAAAATATGAAATGTAATTTTAATCTGCAAATTACAATTTTGTTTTCATTTAAATTGCTTATTTTCTCCAATCGAGTACTGCAACTAACATTTTTGTAGGTGTTACAGTATATGTTGATCAACTGCTTATTATTATTTTAAATAATTAAGAATTGTCTGATCTAGAAAAGTGTAAAAAACGGACAGATTCCAAAATGTTCTTTAAGGCCAGGTGACACATGTAATAAGTTTGGTCTGTTTACTAACATTGCAAATCCTCAAGGGAAATGTAAGGGAAATTCAGCGGTTGCTTGAAAAATTATTGTTATACTTAAAATGTTTCTAATAAAGTATAATACTTTTAAAAGTATACTGTCAGGCCAAGGTTAAAAATCAAAATGATCAAAATGTTCATTTAAATCTTAACCTTTTTTCTCCTTTCTATATTTGTCAATAATCCTAATAGTAAAAGTACAAACACCTCAGATTGTGAGATGTTGCTTAACTTATGATATAATATTGTTTGTGTATCTGAGTGATACATTTAATCTTCTTTGCTCTGATTTGGAGGTCATGTTCCTGCCTACAGCGTGTATTTGTCCATCGCTGTTTGTTCTCTCTTTAGTGTCCCTGCACCAAATCCCTAGTACACTTAAGTATTCCTGGAAAGGTGAACGAGTGTTCCTGAGAAAGGAGGGTAATAAAACATCACTAACACATCTAGAGCTTGAGATTCAGTGTTTTTTCCTGGAGGTGCGGGGCAACACTTTCAGACTGAACGCCCTTAAGGTTCAGCAGATCTGAAGCCATAACTCACTGCTATGTCGTTCAGCCTTGTGATTAATATATTATATGTCGTATCTTGGTAAAATTACTGACATAAAAATCAAACTGACCTTAACATCTCTTTCAAAAAGGACACAACCAAAACCTCTTAAGACTGCACCAGATAAGTGTTTGATTTTAAAAGTATTTAACGTTTTTTATATGGCATTTACGCTTAGTATGGCATGCAAAACACACACAAAACAGGAAAAACTACGAGAAAAAGCACAGAAAAAGGGGCCTAAATCATACTAAGCATACTAAACTAAGTATACATGCCATACTAAGCATAACTACTCTGTACCATACTCTGGTTAGGGTCTTCATTTGGTTAAATTAATCTTTAAGGAGTCAATTTCTTGCCAAAAGGCTCCAACACGGTTAAATATTTCAGTACACCTGAGTGGCTCCTTCACTGATAAAACAAAGATTTGACCTTTTCTGATATGCTTGTATAAAAAGCAGGTGTTTGAGTGCAGCATCTCCTTTGCCTCCTCTGGTCTCCACAGCTGTTTTTGCCTCCTTGCTGCCCCCTGAAGCTTTAGAGCAGAAACGTCACTGCAGCTGTATGTGATATGTGTATGTGTATGTGTATGTTGGTCACATGGTGCAGAAATGAAGCCATTCAACTCACAAAACATAATTGTACTCGCCACACAAAGCTGACATTAATGGTTTATTGAAAAGTATGTTATGGTTTTTAATAACAATGCTTCAAGGATTGAATGCTTATTTTAACTCGTAGAGGGCTGTCACTTATTATACTGATCATTTAGTCCCTCCCTTTTGTTTTGCAATGGTTACTGAGGGCATGCATAACATCATTAGATACAGCTAAGACTAAAATACATGTATAACTATCTCCAAATCAGACAAAGTGATAAAAGAAAGCAAGATCAAACCAATGAACAATTATCTAAAGGATAGCATTAACAGATAACATTAGTAATTGTTATAAGTACATCAATTGTCACATCTAAGGGTAAATATTTAGTTTATTAATGGCCAGGAAAGAGACCTTGAAAAATGACAGAAATGATGCACTG